CGTAACGTACCACGTCTGCGACGTTCGCGTAGCCTTGCGCGTCCAGCTTCAGGCCTTCTTTTTCGGCGGCGTGTCGGAGCAGGAGACTTAGGGCTTTAGAGACGGTTACGTCGCGGCCCCCGTGGGGCTTGCCTCTGCGTTGTTGGCCCATGATCCTTGACCAGGCAGATAGGTGTTGGAGGGGTCGGAGGGGTTTAATTGTGGGCTGCTGTTTATTTTATTCTGCGCGCTAGCTTCTAGGGTGTGGCGGGTCAGTTTTATTTGAAATGTATTCATTTGATGAGGGGTTATGATTGGGTACATGACTCACGGGGATTTTATTTACTCATCTATTGTGAATGGCGTTTGTGAGTCATGGATTATATGCAACGTTGTGAGCCGTTCTAGAAGAAGTTCCGTTTTTCCTATTTTTCTTTCTGACATCATCTGCGGGCGATCGATCTTAGGAGTGGGGGCATCCAGAAACAATTCCCAATCTATACATTTCATATTAAATTAGGGTATTATTCTAGATTTAACAGTAGAACCTATTGCTCACTATGATAATAAAATGATCAACATCAATTCTCTACATAATGGGTATAATCAGAAACAACATCAAATCCGTCCTCCACCGTAGCCCATGCCGCAAGGCAAAACATAATGGAAAATTGAGAGGTAAGATCAGCACTTCACCGATCACAGATACAGTTGCAATCCGCAACCGGGCAGACCCTATGCTTCATGAACCACTCTTGGGCATGGTGCGCATGGAATCCATGGTTACAGTTGATACAGAACACGATGAATCTTCGCATCATCTCCGCTTGGGTAGGTTTTCCGGCCTGCTGTCCAGCGTCGGCGGCGAGGCACGCTTTCGACATCGGGTCTGGGGATCCCAGCCAAAAGGTACAGACGCCGCATCGGGGCATGTGCCGACCGCAGCGTGGACAAACCATTCCAGACATTGCCGACGTGCCCAGGGGATTCCCAGGTGTGGGGTGGACGACCTCGCCAGTAGTAGATGGTGAAAGCTGAGAAGAGGCATCGTGTTGGGTAAGTGGCCGGGTACAGTAATTACAAGTCAGACTGACTTGTTGTCGTGGTGGCTCAATCAATTTTCTCCCGTCCCAAGTGACGGCAAATTTGCGAGAACCGACATCGAAGCGTGCTCGTTCCAGCTGTAGTTTCCAGGAATTAATCTGCCAACGGTACGCTTCGCGCCATGCTTCAAAGCGTGCCCTATTCGGGTTGTTATTAATAAATCGTGGGACGGCGTGGCTCATGGCGAGAACTGGTGTTTGCACATCGTTGAATTTCCTGATGTATGATTGAAAAAGGTCCATGGCGGAAGGCCCCAGCCCTGTTAGTACAATGCCTTCAATATCTCCCTGAAGGACGGCCTCAGCGGTCATTTCGTTTATATACTCGGTCAGCTCGTCGTCGGGCAGCCAACGCACAGCGACCTCAATTCGATACTTCAATGGAAGTGTGGTTTCCTGGATGACAGAGTTCCAGTCCCCTTTGCTCACAAGTGCCAAGATTGCTCGTGCATATGGATCTGTGAGCTCTTTGGCAATCTCCGCGCAGGTGTCCTCCCAATCCGGGTCAGTGTCGCCTTTCGCCGCGCCAGCAATGGCCATGGCAAGCAGCTTATGTGCTTGAGTGGGCTGGTGGCTTCGCAACGCTAAGTAGGCCAATTTAGCCTCATCCTGGAAGACAGCTAGAGCTGCTGCTTTAGTATGTTGACTGTCGGCTGACAACGTTTTGACGAGTTCTTCCAATTCACGGTGAGTCTGAGCTGCGCCGCAGAGTCGAAGACAAAGCCTGCGATGCTCTGGGTAGTTTGTCTCACAGCCCCTGGTCTCAGGGAGATTGAGCTGTTCTCGAACTAGATTGACGATGACCTTGCTGATATCAGGCCTGGCGTCGGGTTCGAGGTGCCTAGTGTCTAAAGTTTCGCCTGCAGTACGTCAGTTATGTACTGTGATGGAATAACCCACATCCCGGGCAGATGTAATACACACCAAGATCATTGTTCCAAATGTCATACACTCCCACATAATTCAGATCTAGGCCATTTGCAACCATTGAATCATTAGACGAGTCATTGCGCGCGCCTTAGAATATTAGTGCATGTGTGTCATAATATTCAATATTCAACTCACGTTGGATCCAACCCCAGAAGCCTTGCAGGCGAGGATCATCGGCGACTATCTTCCGGTTCCGGGCTGCATCAAATAGATATCCTTCTTTACAACGAAGTCTGTTGATGGTCAATAGGGTCAAAGCCTCCTCGGCTGTAATCAGATTGCCCGACGTTCCTAGAGAAAGAGCACGTTCCCGAGCCTCACGGCTAGATAATGGCTTTGCGGGATGACTTTCACGCGGTACTTCCGGAACATCGTGGCCTGGTAGAATACGTTCACGGAGGTCTTCAATCACCTCAGAAATGCGCAGCCCTTGACTAGGCATAGGGCTTATCGTTCGAAAATCTGCGTTGTCGCCAGACGTCCCGCGTATTAACAAGCCTTGGGAGGAGAGTCGCACAGGAGGTGACGGCGGTTTGGTTGTAATGATGTTGACCTGGCCATTGGCCGATAGTGTTAAGGCGGTAGGCTCATTGGAGGGACTCATATTCAGGAAATCGAAGGACACGGTCCTTTCCGATTCCAAATAGCCCCGTGATGGATGATTGAATGGACTGGAAACATCTCGCACATACTTGATGTATATCTGCTCTGGATAGTTCTTCGAAGATCCTTGGCCCAAGGTCTCATCCACTGACGAGCGATACTCCTCGGATAAATATTCTTTGACAACATCGTAGGTTTTGAAGTGGCCGGTATTCGCAAGAACTCCTAGACATCCCCTCTTTGTCCGAGAAAATCGCAGACTCCAGATGGTTGACTTCGGAGCGATAACATTCTTGAACTCAAGCGCAGGTCCCGGCTGTCCGGTCTCAAGAGTATTTGCTGGACCTACGCCAGGAGTCGTATATCGAGATCCTACACGTCGATCCCAGATACAGATAGTAGGATCATTAGAGGTAAGACACGATGCAATGTAATTCTCGTCCAGCCAGTCAATAGCTAGACCATGGACACACCGAGTCGGAAACTGTAGCGACGGATTGCCAGGTCCCTCTTTGCAAACCAATTAGACAACAGCGGCACGATGAGTAGGAAACAACAACCCACCTCGAAGATCATAAATTCTGACATACTGCCCCTTCACACCCGCTACTAATGTGTCAGGTTGATCCCTGAAGAACTTCACACTGGTGATCGGTTCCGAACTAGCCAGCTTCCTCAGTGGCTCCACAACCCCCTTCCCTCCTCTCATAGCGAGCCGCTGATTGACATCCCAGACGTTGAGGCAAAAGTCATTCCGCACACGATCCAGGCCAGCAGCCAGTAATCCGTGCGTGCTGAACGCGACAGCGTTACAATACCGCTGGTGACGAATCGGAAACGAGAACGACTCCTGGGACTCGCTGCCCAGGCGCAGAATAGTGGCGTCTCCGGACGACTGACCGACAGCGACGAGCGACTCATCAGCGGGCGACCAGTCGAAGGCCCGGAATGCCGGAACCTTGGTGTGAGCAGCAAGCACCTCATGTTCTAGGTTTTGGCCGTCGAAGGACGTCACCTTGCACAGGCGGAATGCCTTTCCTACCACATCCACCGAGAGAAAGCGCTGTTCCGCCGCGGTCGACGATGGCGACCAGCGAATAGCGGTCTCCATCTCTTTTCCTATCTATTGATTGTGGTTTGGTTCGTCTTTGTGTTCGGCCAAGCTGTCGTAGAATAGACACGACCAGCTGACTGGTCGCCTACCTAATCTAAGCGGGAAGTACCTATGTGCAGCGCCCAGCAGTGACCCATGCTCTTACCAGCTTGTGCAACTGGTAAGTCAAGCACCGGGCTGCATAGCGACAATTGCGAAATGCAATGTCAACGGGCAAAGTGGATTCGAGTTCCGGCGCACAGCCTCTGACGAGTATGAAACCTTCAATCAGATCCGCAGTCCCTGGGTTAAATGCGTAAGGTACAGGCTAAGCGCGTCATTGGACACAGCCTAGCCCTGATTGGCTACTGCCGGAATCTGAAAGATTACTCGGGCCGATGGATGATCCGCCGGTATTTTTCTGTAGTTTCATCATTTTCTCTCCAGAGTCCAACAGCATTGGAACAACGAGAAAAGAAAATAAAGTTCACTCTCAGCCGCCCATAATGCCCCGAGAGTACTCCAGATCACAGTCGCCCGTCTCTCGGCCCTCAGGCGACAGGCATTACCGGGACCGTAGTGACCCGCCTAAACGCAAACACAATTCCGATGAGGCATCGCACCAGTACTCCAGGAAGAAAGTTCAGCTGCCCAAGAAGGAACACCAGTACCCTTCCGTCAATGAATTGAAGAAGCGCATTCGCGATGTCAAACGTCTGTTGAACCGGGTGGATCTTCCAGCAGATGCGCGCATTGTGCAGGAGCGTGCCCTCGCTGGGTACGAGAATGACCTGGAGGAGGAAGAGAACAGACGGGAGCGGTCGAAGATGATTAAGAAATACCACTTTGTTCGGTTCTTGGGTATGTTGCGCTTAGGGTCGCGATGCTGTTCGTTTCGTAGTTATAACTAATTTCCCCACCAAATGACAGATCGCAAAACCGCTTCCAAAGATGTCAAGCGCCTCGAACGTCGCGAAAAGGAGGTTTCAGGTTCCGATCTAGACTCCGCAGCCAAAGAACAGAAACTCGCCGCTCTTGCGCAAAAGCTCCAAGTCGCTCGTGTCAATTTGAACTACACCATCTATTACCCTCTAGCGGAGAGATACATCGCCCTGTACGCTGATGCGAAGAAGAAAAAGGATCAGGCGAAGGATGGAGACAATGATGAGGACGGCGATGCAGGCTATATGCTTGTTCACGCGAATGCCGCTGATAAGCCGGCTATGTGGCACACCGTGGACAAGTGTATGAAGGACGGAACCCTCGAACTTCTGCGCGACGGAAAATTGAAGAACGGAGAATCCGGTGCTGAAATAAAGAAAAAGGCCAACTTGGACAAGAAGAAGCCCAATGTTCGTGATTCTGCGCAGCACAAGGATACCACGAAGACTAGCGTCAAGCCGCAAAGAAGAGAGGACAACAAAGGGAAGGACTCGAGAGGATCCTCTTCCAAGAACGATAGTCGCCATTTCCGGGCACGCCAGGCTTCACCCGATGATAATGGCAACGAGAGCGATGGGGGTTTCTTTGAGATGTAATCGCCATGGAGAGGAAATGGTGTATCAAGTATTGTGCATTTTCAGGAGTTGGCCCATGTCGGTTATTTGTCTTTAACATCCTTCAAGCTGTCTTTCAAAAAGCATCTTTTCTACGTCGTATGCGATACCCAACATCAAGACTGGGCCATTGACCTGCTTAGCCCATTGTATGTACCTAGTGCAGTTACGCTATCACAATCGAGGACATGATTATAAAAGTAAGATCTTAATAAGAAAAGTTTCGAATCTAAGTGATCGCTAAAATCAACCCTAACCTAAACAACACACTCCAAATATCTCCGTCCCTTTCTAATGAATAGACCAAGAAATAGATATTCCAAAGGATTGAGGTGATCAGTACGGTTACAAATCAGGACGTCAAATATGTCCAGACTTCAATCGTACACCAAGCCAGTCAAAAAGTATGGTTGCGTGGATGTTATAGGACCGGTGCGGACGAGAGAGAAAGCCAGTACGAAACAAGTTCGCTATAGGCTAAACTTTCAGCGTAGATAAGCATACTTATCCAACTGCTCGCACAGATTCATCAATTCATGTCTCATAGCATGCTCTGTGCTGGTAGATATGCAATTCAGTTCGCCCTTGGCCAGCATTGCTCGGCTGCCAATTTTTAGTTGGAAAGCACGATGGTAGACACATTCAACAAGGTTTCCAGAACCTCATAGCTGGAAGGAGTGGTTTTCACACAAAAGAGACATCTCCACAAGCATGTCTGTAGATGCTTTGCGTTCAACGTGAAGACTATCTAAAGAAAAGAAGAAAAGTAAAGAATGACTTCCTCACATGACAAGACAGGAACCACCACTGTGTGCTCTCCTGCGTCTCCCCCCAAGGGCGGAGATGCCCCCGACACCATAGGCATCATCACCTTCGTCGTCAGCGTTGTAGATTCTCTCGGCTTCACGAGCCCGACGCCGTCTTCTTCTGGCACCAGCCCCTGCTGCGCCTGCTTCTTCTGTGGCCATCATGTAATCAGCCCATTTCCGATCTAGACGGTTTGCGGCAGCAAGATCCCCTCTCAAGACTCGCTTGTTGTGCTCGTTCACAGTCATCTGCCAGCCATAGAAACACTTGAGCTGAATGATCTCGTTGGGGTATACCGAAGGCTGTGGCGGGGGTGTGATAGAGGATGTAATTACTGTCTTCATATCTGTTGCTTCGTTCGGTATGACGGCCTGCGCTACAACCGATATAGCTGGTGTAGCTTGTAGCGACTTGCGAGAACGTGGGACATAGGCATTGCTCGAAAGAACCTCTTTTACACCAGCCCAAGTAACGTTGGCACAGTCGAAGACAACCAAACGCAAGCCAACACAAGGTAGATCCTCACTGTAACCTCGCCTGCGGACACGGTAGCTGGCTTCCATCAAAGTAAGGTCAGAAACCCGGGTGTTATCCATCTCAACAGAGCGGAGAGAATGGCAGTTCTTCATAACTTGAAGCATCCCGGGGTCACCGAGAGCTTCACAGTAACTAATGTTGAGGTGCTCGAGGTGTTCGGCGCATGGCGCCTTTGCAATTTCTAGGAGGGTGCTGTTGGTGAGCCTTTCTATGTCCTCAATCTCGAGATGGGTTAGGCGAGGTGTGGTACGGATAACAGCGATAACAGAGTCGTCACTAAGCTCGGGGCACTGGGAAAGCTGCAGGCCCTCGAGGTAGGGAACATTGTAAGCGAGACTCTTCACTCCATTATCCGTCAGTTCAGGACATTGGTGCAGATCCAGGTGTTTCAATCGCCGAGGAGGTACAATGGGCCGGTCGAGAAGCACATCCATTTCGGGATCAACGCCATGCACGAGAATCTTCAAACATTCATCAGTAATATCTGTGCGACTGATAATCAGGCGTTCCAAGGTATTTCGTTTGAATAATTCCAGCGCAAACTCCTCATCGTCGAACCCGCGAATTTCGCTGGCCCCCAGGTCTTTCAACTTCGGGCATTCCTTAATGATTCTCTTCAACCCATTTGCATTAACGCCCGAGCACCATGATACATTCAGAATTTCAAGCTGTGGGCATGACTGAGCAATAATTTTCATGGCCGAATTCGTTACACTGCTCAATCCCGAGACATTGATATACTCCAAACGAGGATTTCGTAAAAGGAAGTAGTGCATGGAGGTCTTATCAATGCGGCATCCCTCCAGGGAGAAATTAACAACGTTCCGGCACAGGTCGGTGATGCGCTTGCCTTCCGATTTCCATTTGTCTCGTAACTGAACGCAACCGCGGAGGTTAAGATCCCGGACGAATGGACCGCCGGATGCGATGATCTTCACGAGACCGTCACTAGGAATATCGCGATAGTAATCTGTTGTGTCAATTGCAGACCACAACTGCCCATCAAAGCACATCTTGTTCCAGGCTTTGGAGACAACAGAGCAGCGGACAATTTCCCGGGGGGTCAGATAGCTAAAAATTAGCATTCTGAGCTCTCCGGGCATGCTTCCCCAGAAGTCAAAGGCCTTCTTGGGGTTCGATGCGGGCTGGACGACAGCGGTTTCCTGGATCGCATCGGTACTTCCTAGAGGTGATCCAAGGGGCCCTGGTCTCAGCTCGGTTGGCAGGGGGACTGATCTTGATTGAGCGGCATTTGGTGAGTCGGACCCAACAAGGCGTATTCGAGCATTTCCCTCATGTTCTTCTGCTAGGCCAGCCTGACCAGAAGTCATCGGGCGCACATTCAATCCACCATAGAGTTGCGACGAGCTTCCGTTACCGAGACAAGGAGCATATGCCGAATGTCCAAGCGAGACACAGGACAATGAAGCCTTTCCATCTCGGCGGTAGCCCGTAGAATGGGAGCGGCCCCGTTTCAGACTTGGGCTTGATGAGATGCGTTGGAGGCTTTGCAGCAGTTTATGTCGTCCTTTGAGTTTCGGAGGTTGATCCAAGGGTATCTGACCGGTTGAGGAGGCTGGACTCACCGGGGAGGCTACCCCAGATACAGGAGTAATCCTGTCGGTACTTGTAGCAGCCATGGTGAAGCTGGTGTATAAAAATACCAGAGCCTCTTCAGTCCAGCAGGTGTCCTGAACTCCTTCCGAACACTGTCGAATTATAAAAATACCTCCGAAAAATGCAAACCTGAACAATCAACTAAAATGATGTTCTATTGATGACGGGCACAAACTCGCGCAAGGACAACTAGTGATTTGGGTTTTAGATCGTGGTCATAGTGACGGTTTCAAGCCTGGTTCCCGAAGTATATTGTTTGAATGCAATGGAAGCACGCGAGCCCGATGCCAACGCCAAAAAGTCCGTTCCAGCGGATATCAGGGCCGTGGGGTGAAGCAAAGGGTGAGATGGACAGAGTAAAAGGCAAATCGGAAAGGATGAAGTTCACTAAGAAGGAGGAAGAATGAAGGGACCGACAGCGTTGTGGTTTTTCTCGGCTAAGATCTGTAAGAATTGTACCATGGGACCTCTGGACCGCGTAACCCGGGGGGCTCGGTCAGTGCGGGAAACCCCAATGTATGGACGTCGTCGTAGTCGGAACTGAAGGGCCTGGGACTGGATAGGTACGTCACTTGGGCATCATCCGCGGAGTTGATTAACAGCCAAAAAAAATATCGAAAACGGACACTGTGATGCAAGAAGCGTCTTGAAGAGAAGCAAAAGGGGGAGTGAAACTGATCAGTTGGACAATCAAGTCGAGAATCTTGTACGGTCGGAGTGTCACTTCGGTCAGCCGACTTTGACTGGCAGTTCTTTTACCGTAGGATTGAGCCACACTTCCACTGCTGGTTTTCTAAGTAGGTGGTAAGCCCGTTTCACACCCGACCTGTCAAAAACCAGGGCCCCCCTTTAGATTACCCACTGTTTTCTGGGATTCTGACTGACAAGGTGTATGCATGAATACTTTACAGTACTCAGTACAGTTGTTTTTCTCTCCGCCACCACAAGGCCCCCCTCCAGAGGCTTATCGGATCACTTATCGATTAACGATAACCCAAGACTTGCCCCACTTGGCGTCTCCATTCCATGAAAAGTGGGGGGCGCTTTACGCCGGAGTACATACAGTACTTGGATGGGCATAACTGTATTTTAAGATAGGGAATCTTCCACGATTAGGTGTGACTCGTCTGCAGTAAAAGAAGGTAAAAAATGTCTCAAAACATTGGGACATGATACAATTGAAATGGATGGTATAAGACAACAATCATTCCCAGAAGGCGACCATAATAACCTACATACCCAGGTAAGGAGTCATGTACCCCATAAGACCAGAAAAATCCCTACCTCTACGTACTAGTATAATCCAACATGTTCAGGCTACCCTGCTAGTTTATACTAAAAACTGACAGCGCTCGGGCACTATTCCTGAATGCCGGTTCACCCATCCGTACCAGGAACATATCGGTTGTACTCCGTCTGAAAGGGTACCAGGTAAAAAAAAACTCTCGAAGTCCACCGACTAGGTACAGAGATCCAATAGGTGATTGATGTACCCACCCAACCACACTTTACTACCAAAACAGCCTCCAGCATCCATCACTGTCGCACCCAATAACGCCTCAGTAAGACCGCAGCCCAGCCACGGAATACTATCAACCACAGTGGAGCAGCCGACAACACACTTCAGGTTGAATGTCTTTAATTCTCTCCCGGTCTAAGACAGGAAAGAGGGAAAACTGTCCGGCCCTCCACCAGGTTGCGTGTCCATGGTACTGGATGTAGATGGAGCAAAAAGCAATTCGATAGGAATACATCCCCTCATTTACAATTCACCTGTGAGAAAATAAATACCAGAGGAATGAGAACCAAAAAAGTCTGTGGACATAGGGAACCACTCAGGTACTGTACGGTATAGAAAAGTATGTGCCTGGACCGAAGTGGATTGAAAGCCCGTCTCTTGTTTGCCTCCCACATGGGCGAAGACAACGCCACCCTGCGGGGAATCTAACGGTGAAACCCTGCTTTCCGACCAAGTCATATACTGTACGAGTCGCGATGCGGATTATTCCGAAACCAGAGTACTTGTCTCATGGTTGGGTGGGATCCTACAGAGTACGTGTGGCTGAGACTCTTAGATGAAATCATCCAATAGTTGAATGTATTAGCTGCTGAGTTTTATGTTTGAATTGGTTTGTGATATCGATATCTGTTTTCTTACTTTTCTTACGTTTCTTTTTTCCTTTTCTCCTTTGTCTAGTCACACTGGGAGGGTCTAACCTGAGAGCTTTGCACATATCAACTTCCTGGATCTTATCTATTTACTTGCGTACAGTGCAGTAGCAGTAGTTTAATCCGAGATTTTTTTTAAAAAAAAAAACGAGAAAAAAAGAAGAAAAAAAGAAGAAAAAAAAGGCAAAAAGAAACCCATAATCCCTCACTCCCCCTTACCGTACCCTATTCGTAGTACGTACACACCTCCCCATAACAACATGCCTGACAATAATTGCCTAATATGCACAATGACACCCAGTAGCTTTGCCAAGGAAGCAAGGAGGGACGACACATTCAACCATCGAGACCCGAATACTTAAAAAAGTGGTCCGTTCTCCAGCCCAATATCCACCACAGAAATGACTGGACAGTAACTCCTTAAAAGCAGTAAATTGGCCGGAACGATTAATAAACCCCGTCAAGTAACGTGGTAAGCTAAGGTAGTAGTCAATGTTTCTTTATAAATGGCACCGGGGCTTATTTTTACTAGCAGTTAGGAACTTAGTATTCCCCCGCTTTTCTAAACCCCCCGCACTTTCGAAATGGTGGGTAAATTTTCATTGTGCTATTGGTTTTGTTTTGTATTGTGTCTGTGGAAATTAGGAGGAAAATTGTTTCATTTCACGTAGGACTGTTTGGCTGCATGTGTAACTACTCTTAGTTTGGGGGTTGGTGACATGGTCAACATGAGTGGTTTGGCATCGCAGCTTACAAGGGCCCTGCTTCCATATACAAGAAAAAGAATGCTCTACTGAAGTTATTGTAACACATAGCGAAATAGTGGCTTACATGGAACCATTCCAGAATGGAGGAATTTTATCACTTTCATATCTAGCCAAGTAAAACTCAATTCTGATATGGGGGTATCTCAGCCTCCTTTTTTCCTCTATAGTTAATTTATTCGCTATGCTCTTTGTCTCCCTCTCTCTCTTTTGTCTTCTTCGTGTCTCTTTATTGTTGCTTGTTTTGTAGTGTATGGTTTCCACCATATCATCCATATACTTCATCTTCCAAGATATCATATATCATACAGCCTCCCGGGCTCCTGCCTCTATCATGCCTGGTCATAGGAGCCATCTCATTTAAATCATTGACACGGTTTCCGTCATGTATATTAGCTGGTGGCTTAAAGGGCATACGAGAAAAAGTAAAGACGAATGGAAAGTAAATGATCGCCGTGCTGTCGAAGAACTCCCTCATATATAGTCTTTCGAGGTTTCCCTCCATGTTCATGTCCAAATGGCATGCCACGAATCATGCGTGGCCCTTAAGTATCAAAATGGTTCTATTCGCTGTCAGTCATCCATGGATGCTCTATAACCTCGGTGATAGTGAGACGGCTGTCGACGTCTCGGTCGAGCATCCGCCTGATCAAGTCAATACAATCCTCCGAAAACGGCAGGAATGGGATTCGAAGCGGGTGGTCCAGAATCTCATCGACGTTATAGAATGGGTTTTCTTTATAAACGATTGTGTAAAGAAGAATGCCAAGAGCCCAGATATCTTGCTCTTTGCCTCGGTAGGATTTGCCTTGGAGGACTTCAGGCGCCGCATAGTCTGCTAAAGATCAGCATAACTTTTGTAGGGGAATCCATTGAGAGTGACTCACCAATTGTTCCCACAAAGACATCGAACGGTCCATTTTTGATGTAAGCGGCGCTTCCGAAATCGATCAGCTTGATCCTGCCTTCCCCGTCGAGAATCACATTTTCATCTTTGATGTCACGGTGAACAACTAAGGCTTTCGTGTGAAGGTGGTGGATAGCATCGACAACCTGCCGGAAGATGTTTCTGCACTCGGATTCATCCATGTTCGCTTTCAACTCGATGTAGTCGAAGAGATCCATACCAGGGAGCCCGTGTGGCATCATCTCGATATAATAATTGACATCATCCTCAAAAAACCCTTCCATTTCCACAATATTGGGGTGTTTGAAGCCATCTCGCCGAAGGTAATCCAGGACATGGATTTCCAACGGGACCGTACCTAGGCGGCGGTCACGAGTCCAAGTATCCACGAGAATCCTCTTCTTCGTGACATACTTCAATACGACCTTCTTAGCGGCATTCTTCTTCAGACGGGCAAGTTTCACCTCCCCATATGCCCCTTGACCCATCTCCTCGATGATCACATAGTCGGTGATCGTCCTTTTCTTGGGGGACTCTTTTGCGTTCACAGACTTTACCTCTGGTACAAGCTGTACGGGTTTGTCAGTGAGCGGCTCTGATGCCGCCTCACTTAGCTGCTGACTCAATGTCGATGTCGGTATTCGGGTCTCCACGGATGTCTGCTCCGTGTTCAAGGGTGGTAAATGGGACTGTAGGCTGGTTCCCGGGGCAACCGAGGGGCTTCTCACCCGAGACTCAGTCCGAGGTGGAGAAGAGAGACCCGCAGCATGGATTTGTCTCGAGTACGTGACCCATAGTGCATAAACCAATTCAGCTACGGCGAAAGTGTCATCATTTTCGGAGTCAGCATCACCGTCGTTACTCGGACTTTGATCGTCCTGCTTTGGGAAAATTGTTCCGCTTTTGACCACGCGCAGCTGAACATCCACGGTAATGGTCGAGCCATCACGGTGATTGGCCGTAAGGCCATTAGGTTCGAGAAAGACTGAGGCAACGTTGGCTTTCCCTTCCCGAAGGATTGATAGGGTTCGTGCCCTTCGGAAGCTAGGCTCAGGGATCACAATTCCATCCTCTAGAGATACATCCTCTTCCTCAGTAAGCACGCTCAAGTAATCGTCAAATCCGGGGATCAGCTCGTTAACATGGAGTCCTTCCGGGCGCTCATGACCAAACAAAGCCGCAGAAAACGCTGAGTTCGAACTGATAACTTTCAGTGTCGACGATGCGAGCACCATCATACCTGCAACATGAGGGAAGCTTGATATCCGTAAACTATCCGATGTTGTATCTTGTGCAACAGTGACTGGGAAACAAGTCCCCGCAGTGGTCTGCGCAGCGAAATACTTCAATTCAGAAAGCTTCGCCAAACCTTGATCAACCGGGCCTTCTAAACACTCTTTAGAAATACGAGGAAGAATGTCTGAGATCGGTTTGCCGGGCATGACCACGTCCCGGCCCCAGAATTTGTCAGTATCCCCATCGGTCTCTGTAATATTCCAGGACTTGTCGCAACGGATGTAAGCGACATCCTCTTGAATCTCCTCAATTACCCAGATTAGTCCACCTCGCTTCTCCATAACCCAGACACTTGCAGAACCTCTTGCTCCATTGCGCTTCAGGATCGGAACCACATCCCCGCATAGAAGGACCCCGCGTGACTTGGTAGATGGGTGATTAAGGGGCTGAGGCATTCGTTTACTGGAACCATAGCCATCGTCAGTCTGTGCCCTCCTTGCTCGAGAAGGCGGTTTGCTAAGAAGCTGAGCTGTAACGCCATTTCCCATCCCCATAGATTTGGGATTAACAGGCGTCATACGGGGTCTCTCCGGGAGCTTGGCCGCAACATCGGTAGAGGGATCCCGTAGCTTAGATTCTAGCCACTGTCTGCGGTCTTTCTGTACGACTTCAAGAATACTTAACCTGCGGAGCTCCGCTTGTGTCACACCAAAGATCAGACACGATAGATCGTTGGCTGCCAATATGGTCCATGGGGCCCGAGACTCGGTCCTAAAAACGGCCTGTGAAACTGGTGTCCATTTGCTGCTATGGGTGTGTAAGACCGGTACCGGGAGTCCAAATCCGAAAGTGTTGCTCGTCGGGGAGAAGGGCTCCGTGGCAGAATAGGGTTGTGCTAGACCTTCCATCAGCTTGCCCTGAAGGGTACCAGAGCTAACATCCGTGTATGTACGTTTTAAGCTTACGCGCCTGGATGAGGGGGTGGACCTCCTCCCTCTCCGTTGAGTCGAGACTTGGGGACCGGTTAAGTCGCTCACGGAATCCGTTTGTTCCGTATTTGGTGCACCTCCGTGAGGTAGTTCTTTGATCTCAGCCATCGGACGCTGGGACTCGGAGAAAGCTTTCTCGAAGACATCACCTGTGTCCACGAACGCAGGACCAGTCATAGGGCCGCGTGCGTAGTTATATCGGTCCTCCCTTCCCAAGATGTTCGCCTTTGACAGCAAATCCACCACGTTTTGAACCTCTGCATCACCACTTACGCGAGCCTGCGCATTCACAATTCCGGGACCGTTTGCAGCCCATCCAAAGCGGTCGCGCATGAAGTCTATAGATCGTTTCAATATGTTCTGACGGCTGTGTAGTAGCTCCTCTGATTGTTGGGAAAAGGAGAATGAGTGTAAGGATTCGCAAGGGAATCGATGGAGATCCTCTAAGGCGCCAGCCTCGTTCAACGAGATCCGCGTGGAATAGGTCCGTGACGTTGACCGAGAGCGAGGTGAGGGCGAGTGGCTTCGGGATGTGACAGGAATCAGGGATGAAGTCGACATGTTCGGAAGGGTCAAGACTCGTGAGGGTTGACGGATACGATCCAGGCCCGACGGACCAAGTCCATGTTCATGTTCAATCAGGGGTGACCTGCAGGGGAAGAATTTTCTTAGTGTCTCTTGTGTTGCTGCAATTACATCCGGTTCTGGTCAACGCAAGGAGGTGTTTTCCGTCCTTCATCCACGTACCTTGAAAGGTGATCATAGGACGAAAGGGTTTCCACTGAACCTCTCATTGAATCATTTGTACGGCCCGGATCAAGTCCAACAAAAGGATCGGTCTCTGGCGACTCTGAAAGGGGACCCAGAGGGGACGATAACGGACTTGGTTCGCCTATTCACCAGATACAGTCAGCCGAGTGACTCTCAACCTCTTTCCGTTTCTTCACTATCTCGGGAAAAGCCAACAAACAAAAGGAAAAGAAAAAGAAAGAAAGAAAAGGAGCCCTGCGGAGCAACTGAACCGGAGAGATATAGAAACGAATGAGGTAAGTCTCAGTAGGCATCACAACTCGGTCGCTATTCCTTTTGGTTCTGTTTGTGTCTCCTTTCACTGCCTGTGGTTTGTATTTACCTCCAGCTTTTCATCCCTTCTCAATGCAGTAAATTTGTTGATCGACAGCTGCTACCAAACACGTCTGATCCATTCTCACCCCCGCCCAAGTCCCCATTTTTCAAGACCAAACGACCACAACGCACAATTAGGCTATGCAGGGAGGAAAGAGAAACAGGAGTAGCAGACAGATTAAGAAGAAAAGAGCCCTGACTAACCATCGGGATTATAGGAAGCTGACCCCATAGTTTCCCCAACAGGTAACAAGAAAGCGACCAGTATCGGTCGGGCCGATTGAACTCGGGCGGCTTAAAGACCGCGCAAACCTCGAGTATAAGGAGAGGGCTAGTAGTAATGTGAAAAAGCGGGTTTGCGATATATACTGCTACATGGAATGGTAAAACACGTCGACCACAAGTAGTTGGTTTTAGCGGGATGGAGGAGGATAATCCTTGCTCTCTGTTCTCTTCCCTTTTTTGCTTTTGGGGCGGGTTTGTTGGGTTTATTAAGAAATCGGCGCACTGGGACTCAAGAAAATGTTACCGCGATCGATGCAAAGATCAACCCACTTTGCTTAATTGTGACTCTTTTTGTGGCTCTCCCGGAGGCGAGAATGAGCCGGTCAGCCGCCGAGGAGAGAATAAGAAGAGTTTTAAAGAAGTGTCAGCGGGACAAGGAAAAGGAGAGAGAGAAGAGAGGGCAGCTGCCTGGTGAGGTCACAGGTACCATCCGGAGAGTGCGGTTCGCGAAGGAGACGAAGCATGCGGGCACAACTAAGTAGTTAGCTTAGGGAGTAAATAGTCAAGTAGGTACGACTCCCGTCGTATATGGTTCGACAATTGTTCGCGCTCGGCTTGAGAGAGAAGAAAAAGGAAAAACAATTGGAGACTATCGTTTTCTTTGTTTTTTTTTTCTTTCTTGCTCTTTTTTTTGTTATTCCCTCTCTTCTTTTTTTGTTGATATATATATTTTCAAAAGGGTTGTGGAGGTGAACGTGAAAAAAAAAAATTAAAAAATAAAGTGTTTTTATGGGGTTGGCGATTTAAGCCACAATAACATACAACCAATGAACCAACGACGAGGGACAAATCGAGACGGTGAACAGACGAAGAAAAGTGTTTGGAAGCACAGGAGAGACTAGTTGAGAATAGTGAGGGGAAGGACTGGTGGGGAAAATGAAGGAAGGAGGCTCGACGGTCTGTTCTTCCGATTCTTTGGGGCTGAGGTTTGACCAGTCTCTTCTGGACCGACTTATATTATCTGTATTTATATTAATTGTATGCAAAAAAAAGGGGGTAAAAAAGGAAAGACTGAGGTTAACAAGAAAAGAAATCCAATGCAGTTGAAGGAGAAGAGAGTCAAGAGAGTCAAGAAGTAAAGGGGGCATTCGGAAACAGGAAGTAGACGAAGAACTAGGTAAATGCCAAAGAAATCTGATTTGACTGTATTTTAAATAATTCTTTTTCTTTTGTTATGTTGTAACCCAACCCGATGGACTCACTGTACGGAGTTAATGCCTAAGGGAACAGCAACCCTCGTCAGCGTAGTACTCTGGAAATGGTGATGTAATTCTGCAGATTATTGAAGACGAATCTAGATAATTACTACTACTAGTATTCAATTACTGGGTAAATTTACAATCGATTGAGCCCTCGTCAGCTTGAGCCACCGGTTTCACCATAAATTCTGCGGAACCGGTCACCCCGGACCCTTGATATAGAGCTTAGCTTTCTGTCTTCAGATCTCCTTTGGCATATCGCTGTTGCGCTCTATCCTTTGCGCGCCTTCTCTGCTCTAGTTTGCGATAAAATTCTGAACCACCCTGTTCTTCCCTTTCATGGCAGATCCGAGAACTAACGAAACCTGGTCCTGTGGAAGATCTTCGCAGTCTCACAGGTGGATCGAAATCTTGGAACGGATGGAGTAGCGAACGAACCGTAGCTCATTAGAACCAAGGCGCAGATCAGCCATCATATATATACTTGGGTGGCCCATTCGAAGGTTCATTCCGCTGTCCTTTACTGGGTGCGATATAGCTCCTTCGGACGAAAAAGGAAAAAAAATAAAAGAAAGTGAAAAAGAGTGAGAGACAGAGAAAAGGTCCTTGGACACGAACCAACCAGCCATCAGTGCATCATCCCTTACCGCGGGCATCTCTGGTGGCATGCAACTAACATTCTCTTCGTTGCCTACAGTGGTAAAGTGAAGCTCGGCGTTGGTTATTTGGGCTTTGGTAATGATATCATATGTCAACGGTAGGACAATACAAGTGCATAATCTGAGGTCGATGCGGAGGTGGCAAAGACGGCGTTCTCCTACGCAGTAATGTGTATAACCTTCCGCGGTATGCGCATGAGGAATACTTGAGGAGACTGTTTAAAAGTGACCAATAGTCGATTCTTATTTTTTCAGCAACATTCTCGATACATTTATGACGACATAGGTGGGGTACTTTGCTCTTCGGATAAAAATTAGGAATGGGAAGCAGTAACGTGCGCCTAATGCAATGAACACGAGCCGGGTATATCGGGTTAACAAGGGAAGAGGGGTAGAATGAGAAGTAGGCTTTACGAAAAAGAAAAGAGAAAGACGACGCCACCAGTAGCCTACTGTTTGCTCTTAGGACCTCGAAGGCTCCGCAAGGCCAAGTCATTAGGTTCGGCATACGGTCTTTGTTCTTCATCTCCGTTGCCGAACAGAGCGTTCGGTTTAGGGCCGTGCCGAGTTTGTTCGGGCGGCACGGATGCCGGGCTAACAAAACTAGAGATATGCCGGCTGCCACCAAGCATCCAAGAAAATTCAGACTCAGCCAATGACGGGCGTGTTGCCGGTCGTAGTGGTAGTGAGGTGGGGATTCGAGCTCGGTCGTGGGCTTTTGGTTCACCTTCCACCGAAGAGCTGGACGATGTCCCAGACTCTCCAACTCTGCTGGTAACCGACGGAGAGCGTTCAGCTTTGTCACCTCCCACATCCGACTGATTAGGGAGCTTCGCGGAAATCGTATCGCCAGCTATGCTTGGGGATCGATTTGCGGAGCGGAGAGGCGCAGAAGGGCTCTCGAGGCATGTCTGGACTGATTGAACCTTGGCGAGACCCTGTTTCATGGCGTCTGCTGTAGCATGGTCAAGCCCTTCGGCTTTCATCATACGAGAGCGGATATCATTCAGCGCCTGGCTCAATGACCTTGCCAGCATCCTATTGCGTTCTTCCAACTCTTGGACCTTCGTTTTCAACTGAGCGACGGCATCGGATTCTTGAACCCATCGTGCATCGGAAGTACGGCTCAAGGGCGAATCCCCATGTCTCATCATTCGAGGAGTGTGTTCCGACTGGATCGTCTGCATGTTCCTTTTCGCCTCACTTACCGCGCCTCGGACAGCCTTGGCTACTCCCCAAGATTCCGTCCGCCGCTGAATGCCTTCCGACACATCTTGGAAAAGCGCCTCAAAGCTCTTAGGACTGTTCCTCGCAGGTGATCTGGAAGGGGAACTAGCCTCACTTATGTTCCTGGCATCGCCGCGTGGATGAAATTTCCTCCCGGAGACACGCCTCGTGCCTGGCTGACTGGCACGTTTCAATGAGTCAGGCGGCTTGCCGGAATACTTCGAGATAATAAACGTTCCTCTATCGGATGTTGGGTTCTGTTCTAGATATAAGCCATCTAATACAAAGCTGTACGGCTCGTGTGGGTGGGGAGAGGGATAGCGAAGCAACATGGTCAACGCAGTCGAGGAATCGGCGTCCAGTACTAAGTAAAGTCAGCGAAAAAAAAATTATAGAGGACGATATGTAGGCAACAAACATTGCCAGCGAATCCTGAGCAGCATTGCAACGCACACAAACTCGACTAGCTCTTGCCGTAAACCCTCAGAAAAGAGAAAATCCCAGAGTATAAGAACATCTTGAAATTGGAACTCGCGACCAAATAAGAGACGCATCCAACGTCTTTTCGAACCAGTTAGCATCAAGGTTCACTGATATATGGAGCTTTACCCACGTAAGGAATATTTGTGGCAGAATTTCCAGTGCCTGAAGATGATCTGCTAACTCTAAGTCTGTGGTCGTTAATAGATCATTATGGATATGTTCGCATTGGTTGACAATTGGTACAACATCCATCTGCCCGCTCGCAGATCGCTGTCTATTGTGCTCATAGTATACTCGGGCAGTTTGCATAACCGAACAGAAAAGTGTAAAAGAGTCATGCTCGACATAGTTGGCATCAAGGAGCTGTAACATTGAGCCATCATCCTCTTCTGTATGGTCGACCCCCTCCCAGGAGGCTTTTTCAATTGAATCTCTGTCTATAACCCACAAGATGGGCGCCAACAGCTCATGCATCCCTTGGCGATAACCTAGGTCTGGGTTGAGTTTCGCATATATAAAGAGAATATCGGTCATTTTCGCCTTGGTCGCCGGTTCCCGGAAGAAGAAATTTTCCTGCAAGCATCGATCCACATCTTGGGATATATCTGCTCTCATCTGCTCATCCTGTCGTAGTGTTTGCCACGGAGACTATACGTTCGCTCGTCAGAGATACAAGTCCTAATACGCTAAACCGATCAGCTCGAGGTGGCATACTTCTTCATCATCCGCCAGCGGATCCACAGTTGACTGCAAATCATCGGGATGCTCGATATATTTCATGAAATGAGCTTTCAGAGCTCCATAGGCGCTTCGGGAATCGGCTATCTTTTGCGGCCATTGTGTGCGGTCGAGGCTATCGAAGTGCAGGAATGCCTGAATCCAGGTAAGCACATTTGAAAGACATATCCTAGTGATAAAATTGCACACCTTCCAACAGATTGATCTTAGTCCGTCGTTGCACAGCTTCTCTCCTTGCTCTGCTCTAAGTGCTGCTCGGAGGTCGGAGGTGGTGTTATTGTCGCGGAAGAGGACACTCCATCGCTGCCTAAGAAATAAGAAAGTTCGTCAGAAAAACTAATAAATTATAGGCACCGGTAGCATGTTGTTTTACCTTATTTCCTCTATACCCCTCATTTCCCCATGTGTTGATTTGACAGTAGGCGTCATTGAATCGTGGGGTTGGATTAATGGCGGGAAAGATGCGAAGATTGGGTACATGTCTTGGCATCCCCGAACCACCGAGTACCCTCCTTCACGATACTTAGCAGCTAGTCTAAGCACAGCACCTTCGCGAAAGGAATCATTCCACCCCCAACGTCAATGTCAGCGGACTTGTTCGCAGAATTTGGATCCGGGGCCCCATCTAATCAGTCCTCAGGGACTGCAGCCCAGAGGGGGGCTCGACCTGCCGATGCAACATCTTCTCTAATCCCCGAACTAGAAATATTCGATAATGCTCCCACAGTATCTACGTCACACACCATTCAGCCACGGGCGGTATCGACCCATCGAAATACGTTGGGAAAGTCTAATGCATCATATCCGATGCACTATGGCAACGACAGTAATGTTCTATTTGATGCCACCTTGGAAGACCCTCCCGACGACAATAGCGAAGACTGGGGGGAGTTCGAATCTGCGGATACTCCGCCTTGTCAAGCCGCACCAGAAATTCTTAGTCACACTGAAGGAAATACTTCACGTCAGTCAATGAAGGGTCCAAATGAGCCGGAAAACCTTGCGGTCTCGCCCAATCATCTTGATTTGCTAGACTCCTTATCAATAGAAGATAAATCACCGCAAAGGCATTCTCAAGCCTCCAGCACACTTGTTAATAAAAACAGCAATGTTACATCTACAGCTTCTGGCATACCTGAAGATGAAGATGCCTTTGATGATTGGGGTGACTTCGTAGACGGCCCGCCTACGGAACCCCCCAAGAGTGTCGGGAGCCAAAGACTTGCTTCTGCAAAGGCACCAACCCAGAAAGCAAAGGCCGCCACCAATCTGGAGAAAAAGATCTCTCCAACGTTCAAAATATCAAGTAATGCTGTCTCTCCAGCTCAGATCCGTCCAACGAATATACCTCCACCATCTGTTCTGTTAGAGTTATTTCCTCGACTTTTTGATCAACTCCGGAAGGAGGCTACTGAAGCTAGAAAAAACGTCCAAGAAAAGCAAAATATTGAGAATGTCGCGCTGCTGATTCTTTGCACTCTGAAAGCAGCAGCTCGAGTTGTTGCGGGCCGTACATTGCGATGGAAAAGGGATAGCATTCTGAGTCAGAGCATGAGGATCGGCCCAGCACGCGCAGGGAAGCTAGGAGGGATGAAACTTAATGCGGTCAATAAAAATGAGGACATCAAGGAACAACAGGAAGCTGTTGACGTGGTATCTATGTGGCGTGACCGGACCGCCCTTTTCAATTCTGTGATCCAGGCATCTGGCAGACGTCCAATCCATGTCATTCCTACTAACATCCGAGCGATGACTGCCACTCCTGGGCAGGGAGCTTTGAAAGCTTCCCATGCTTGTGCCCTTTGCGGGCTGAAAAGAGACGAACGGCTACCCAAGGTTGATGACCAGGTAGAGGATAGCTTCGGAGAGTGGTGGACCGATCATTGGGGTCATACTGAGTGTAGACAATTCTGGGAGACCAATGTTGCCTTACTCGGTCAAAGATGAACCTCCTCTGCAGCAAACTGATCCTTGGCTATATCCACGAGTTTTAAGCTATCGGATTATAGAGCTAGAAGGGCCTGACCTGCTCTACGCCCCACTCCAGTACAGTGAATGATTTACAACCCTGGCAACAGAATATTGCCAGAAGATCTGAGAGCTGCCAGGTACACCTGCTTACGCTTAGCACTAATGTTGACTCAGCCAATAGCCATAGCCCAGAGCATCAGTGATATTCACGCAGGATCAAGTGCCTGCAGCTTCGATCCGTGATGATGATGACGATGATTGTAATTGCGCCGAAAACTAGACCCGTTGCGGTTAAACCAATACATGGTATCATGAGTACCTACTAGTACTAGGTAGTAGATACTTAGTACCACCTGGTACCTACTAAGGCTAAGGCGGCCTGCGGGTCCTCCGATAACAAATGATAAGACACAACAAGTCATTTGGACAACTCACAATACTCAAAGCCCAGACACTAGCCAGTTGACATCTAACTAATTAAAATCTTCAGCTGGGTTTCACTTGGGAGTTCCATGGATTTTCAGGCATTTCAATTGGTCTGATGCGGGGTTGTGGTTTAGCTCCGCCGTCTCCTCCGTACCCATACCTTTAATCGGTTCATTCCCGTAATTTTACACTGGGGGGACCTGAGGCAGCTGCCCGATGGTCAGCCTACGGCCCCGGACAACCACCGATTTCATTGTCTACCTGACTGGTGATACATTCCAACTGCTGGTCTCTTGCCTCCCCTTTAACTATCACCCGACCGCTCCTTATCTTCCCTTCCTACCTTGGTGTCTCGTCATTCATCGTCTGATGGTAAAATTAGATTCACTGCTGTGAGCTGGCGTCATCATTCAATCTTACGTCTTGCCGTGGGTTACAAGTTCCCCACTTCTTCTCAGCCAGACGATCCCGCTGCTACCTTGAAGACTTCTTGCGTACTTTCCTATCGAGCTTATCTCAACTACCACTAAACTTAGAGGGACAGAAGAGTCCAGCACATCTGGTTGATCTATCGGTTCCCGACACTGTTTCGAACTTCCAAACTTGAGTCTTTCCTCAAATCACACCGTCGTTGAAGTTACGACCAGGTCGGGTTCCCCTTGCAAAGGAAAATCAATCCCAGGCAAGGCGGGGGCCTCAAGAAGGAGAAAACACCATTTATTGGTCTTGTTCTACTCCCTTCTGCCATATCTTATCTTCATAATAGACCAAATCCGATTACCTACCTTTGTCTTGTCACGCTCACATTCCAGGACGGATACCTCGCTGCCGGTGTGGGAAAGAGGAGCTAGAGCAGATCATAATGGGACTCGCGTATAACGTCTACCTCACTTCCAATAAGATCTTTGGATGCAGGCAGTGCAAGACGCACCTTGCAGATTATGACGATATCATCAGCAGAGTGGGTGCTCGTCCTCCATATCCGTCAACAAAGACATGTCCTGACTGAAAGACCTTCCCGCAGAACTTCCGTGGCCAGCATGGCAAAGCATATCTATTCAACAACGTCGTCAACATCACACAATCTGAAGCGGTGGAGCGTAGCATGACCACTGGAAGGCATATCGTTCGAGACATCGCTTGCAGACAATGCAGGGAAACGGTAGGGTGGAAGTATGACAAGGCGTATGAGACCAGCGAGAAGTACAAGGAGGGCAAATTCATCCTGGAAGAAGAGCTTTTGTGCGTGGTGTGCTAAGGCGCCTCATCTTCATGAATGCGGGCTGGCGTCCTTTCTAAAGAGCCGTACGGTAATTTGACGGTTTCAGTTACTGTGAGGCTTCCAGAGAAGGGCTTGCAGCGACACTTACAAAGACTGATTCATACAGTGAGCGTTTCCAATCGTGGCGTAAGGCAAAGGCGTTGAATGGTGCACTATGTTTTGCTTTGACCGACTTTGAGAACCGGGTTTCGCAGCACACCAGTTTTGGTGTATTCGAGATTATTCGGCTTCAATCCATACTCGACATTCTGTATCATTCGTGCTTCAGTTCAAGAGCCTGTGAAATCTGCAATCGTCATCTCATTCTCCTGAGTCATGAGGCTAGAATGATATGTAACAGAATAACTTAGCTTTCCCCCTACAGAAGGGTCTCATGCCTCTCTTAGCTATTAGACATGTAGGGCCTCTTTTTTTAGCCAGGACCAATAGTTTTCAGATGCTTGAAATTTTGCTCATGGGAGTGTTGGGGATGACAGCCCCACAGTTATCATAAATCGAGGGGTAAAGAAATTGCAGCGGCCGTTTATCGGATGTGGGGATCTTGGTTTCTCCAAGACGGCACATTTTACGTACTTCGATTCAATGGCCCGACTCTACTACGAAGAAAGTTCCTTGTATACACCTTCTTCCATAACCTTGATCAGTTTACAAAATGGCCACGGAAAACAAGATGCGCGCGGTAGTGTTTCACAGCCTTATAAAGTGGCCGTTGAAGAACGACCAATTCCCAAGATCCAAGATTCGGGGGATATTATCGTTAAAGTAACATACACTGCGCTTTGTGGAAGGTAGGGCAACGATGGCATCCCGATTTTCCTGTGCTACGCTTTAGATAAACGGCCGCTAACCATTGCAGTGATCTCCACACATTTCGTGGTATCGAACCCGCCGGTACGGGGTTTGTTATGGGCCACGAAGTTACGGGTGAGGCTGTTGAGATCGGGAGTGGCGTTAAATCCATTCAGAAAGGCGATATGGTCGTGAGTGCTTTTACGACTTCTTGGTAAGTAATGGCTACATACCTTTCAGGGGAGTGATAGAGCTCTGCGTTGGGGGTATAGAATGCTAGAAAGCTACTCTAGCTGTCGGAAATGTCTCTTGGGTGAACGCTAACTATGCTCATAGTGGCGAATGTTTTTACTGCAAGCAAGGGTTCTCCTCTCGCTGTGAGAAGAGTGTGCTTTTCGGGTGTGATCATCTGGATGGGGCACAGGCCGAATACGTGAGTAACTTCGTCATAGTCTTACAATCTACGGGAGATCTGATGGTGGCGGCCCCTGCTAGGTCCGCATCCCAAATGCAGACGGAACGGTAATGAAAGCCCCCGAAGGTGTCGAGGAAAAATACCTCGTGCTCATGGCAGACATCTTCCCGACGGGCTACTTTGCGGCCAGCAATGCCTTCAAGGGGTGCACCCCGGAGCAAATCTCTGAGCAGACAGTCGTGCTAATCGGCTGCGGACCGGTTGGGCTCTGCGCACTGATCAATGCCCTGGAGTTTAAGCCCAAGCATCTCCTGGCTGTGGACTCTATTCCGTCGAGACTTGAGCTGGCAAGATCCCTTGGGGCTGAGCCTTGGAACTTCCAGCAAGACCGGGAAGGATTGGACAAGCGGGTGAAAGAACTGACGAATGGAAGGGGTGCGGACGCTGTGATTGAAGTAGTTGGGTTGAGCCCGGCACTGAGAACTGGCTTTGATCTGCTGCGTCCTTGGGGGACGATTAGTAGCGTTGGAGTCCATAATGGAGAAGTAAGGACACCCGGGCAATACAGCCTTACTTTATGGTGTCGTGCTGTGCTAATTTCTTTTCGTAGATTCCATGGGCAGGAAACGATGCATATGACAAGAACTTGAAAATCCAAATGGGCCGATGCCCCGTGAGGTCGGTATCTCCTCAAGCGTTGGAGGTCTTGAAAAAGAATCAGCATAAGTTAGGGTGGGTCTTTCTTTTTACTTTTGTTTTCATTTTGTCCCTCGTTGTTGGTGACGGTATACATATCTAACAAAATGAGTGGAATTAGATTCATGGCGGACAAGATCATGCCGCTGTCTCAAGCTGTAGAAGGCTACGAGCTTTTCAATGCAATGAGAGTGCAGAAGGTGATTTTCAAAGCTGGAGAATAAGTGCGGACCCAATGGAGGGAGAAATGGTCGAGAGCCTTGATGTTTTGAAGATGAATGCGTTGATTTCATGTATAGGTAGGCGGTGGTGTAAATGATGGGATGGTCTATATGCTGTTAGAATTAAGCGTGAGATGAATTTAGTTGGCGTAAGAGTTTTATAGACATCAATCCATCCTTGGCCATACACTCCTGATGGTATGGTTTGTTGATCTGCTCGAAATGGGATTACAGGTGTATACTATTTCAATGGTGAACCAAGTTGTTTATCAATGAATGAGAGAAAGTAAATGGAGGAAGTGGAACAAATTTATCTCCCCGACAGAAACGGTTGGCGATACGTAACAAATTGAATTTCGACCTAAACAAATCCCAAAGGAGAGAGATCTAGCAAAAGATAGAAGAATGAACGCAGTCATTCATTCAATCAATCAATCAGTCAGTCAGTCAAGAGTATATGGGAGGAGTTATGAAAAATGGTTGTGGTTCGAAGAAAACGAGAGACCCAACCAACCAGAAAAGTAAACTAAGCCCAAACTTCTCGGTGCTTCCGCTTGTCTCTTTCTCTTACGCTTCTCTTTTTTCCGTTCCCTCTTTTCTGCCTTTACTCATCTTTCTCTTCCCCTTCTGCCCCCGATCTTCACTCTCCTCTTCAACCTTCACCTTCTCTTCCGCTACGTCTCCCTTCTTTCACCCCCTCCCTCTTCTTCTTCTTTTTCTCCTCCTCTTCTTTCTTCCGTTTCCTTTCCCCTCCGCCTACCATCGTCCCTTGTCCGTAATTCCTCCACATCTTCCCCCGCCCGCCGAAACCCCTCTGATTTCACAGTGGTTCATTCGCCCCCTCTCCGTCCACTGGCTGATCTTTATCCCCCCCTCCTTCTCGGTTCCTTTGGCCATCAATACTCTATTTCCACGCAACCTCCATTATCCTCGTGCGCCACCTCTCTCATCCTTGGGTAAGTAGCCGGTACATCTTTGCTTGTCGGTCTCATCGCGCCGTCAACATATTACATACCTGTTTCTTTCACAACCCACTCTTTCGCTCTTTGATTCAACCCAAACACTAAAAGCATGGATGTTGATCGCGCGACTTCTCTTCTCACCCATTGTTTAGGTTTGTCAGCTAACTGGCGAGAAGGAACTTTTATTAAAAGATATCCTGATCTCCTAATCATCGAATCTTCGTCTAACTGATCTCTTCGCTCCTTCGACATAATGGAATCTGCCGAGCTTCACGATGCCCAAGTTGTTGATGAGACTATGACTGATGCTGTCAACATGGTCGACGAGGGTGATATGGATATTACTCCGAAGACCGAAGAAGAATACGCCCAGTCGATGCTGACCCTCCGTGCGATCGTTTCGTCCAAGGAAGCCGGCGTGATCATCGGCAAGGCCGGTAAAAATGTTGCTGACCTGCGCGATGAAACCGGTGTTAAGGCTGGCGTGAGCAAGGTTGTCCCGGGCGTTCACGATCGAGTCCTGACGGTGACCGGTCCTCTGCAAGGTACCGCTAGGGCCTACGCTTTGGTAGCCAAGGGCTTGCTAGAAGGTGCCCCGCAAATGGGTATGGGTGGCATCGTATCAAACAATGGAACTCATCGTATGTGTATCTAACCCCATCAATTCTCGTGGGAAAGACCAACTAACATATGGCAGCTGTTCGCCTCCTCATTTCCCACAACCAAATGGGTACTATCATTGGACGGTCCGGCCTGAAAATCAAACATATCCAGGATGCATCTGGTGTACGAATGGTCGCCCAGAAGGAAATGCTTCCCCAGTCGACCGAGCGAATTGTTGAAGTGCAGGGTACTCCAGAAGGCATCGAGAAGGCTGTCTGGGAAATTGGAAAATGCCTTATTGATGACTGGCAGCGGGGCACTGGTACCATCCTATACAACCCCGCTGTGCGTGCATCTGTTGGCACCAGCCCAGTCAACCAAAACGTGGGCAATGGTTACAGCAGCCGCCCCTACAATCGTACCGGCAATGGTGCCGACTTCAGCGACCAGTCCGGTAGCTACGGCAGACGCTCCAACCCCGACACATCAAACCGTGGCTATCCCCTGGTCACCGAGGACGGCGAGGAAATCCAGACGCAGAACATCAGCATACCTGCTGACATGGTGGGATGCATCATCGGTAGAGGTGGAAGCAAGATCACTGAGATCCGTAGGAGCTCTGGAGCGAGGATCTCGATCGCCAAGGCTCCTCACGATGATACCGGCGAGCGCATGTTCACCATCATGGGCAGTGCCCAGGCGAATGAGAAAGCCTTGTATCTTCTGTACGAAAACCTCGAAGCCGAGAAGACCCGCCGCAGCCAGCTCCCCCAGGAATAAATACCTTACGCCCATTGGCTTAGTCCGAGAAACTCCATCCTACCATCCCGAGGACGCTCCTAGCCTCTCTCTTGGAAGTTTCCCAGCCACTTTTGTGTTCGCCCATTCTCCTTTAATAAATTTTCTTCGTGTCGTTGTTTTTTCTTTATATTTTTCGTGTTTCTCGTATCGTGCAGCTTTCTTGGTTTACAAGAAGCAAGGGTTCGCTAGGACGGACTGCACATGCCTGTTTGATACCAACCCTTTACGACCTTGGTGATCGCCTTGTCTCAAAGGATTCAAGTTCGAAAGGCTGACAAGGCAATGTTCTTGAAATCTCTTCCGACTTGTTTCTTTTAGTCCCGCCTTGTCCTGCCGCTCCGTCTTCCCTCCCGCCAAAAGTGCTTCTCCACCCTTTCTTTACCTCCTATTCTCTCGGCATCTAGTATTCACCGTATTGCTCCGCGATCATTCCCACCTCAATGGCACTGTCTTCTTCCCGTCTAATTGAAATTATTCCCTCGAGCAGCTTCTCAACACCGTTTACCTGACGCATCTATCTTGTGACCTATCCTGTTATTTCCTATATCTCCTTGATTCCTCGATTTCTACAGACTCCTGCAACATGTATATCCAGAACCTGAGTACCTCATCCATAGTGGATTCCGAGGCTGAAGAAAACAATCTGAGGCAAATCTTGTCTGAGATCATGACAGATGGCTGCTAGTAGAGCAAAGATAATGACCTGTTCCTATAGCTAGTATGCTCTAGATGTGAGAGCATTTTCCAACGATCTACGATCGTCACGGAATCCAAATGAATACAGTGGAGAAAAGAAAAATAATAAATCACAAACAGTACGATCTATTCCAGCCTAATGACGTAGATTCCTGCAGATCAGATCTTGCATACATGGAGGCGACATCTCTACGCCCGTTCAGGAAAAGCATAATTATGAAACCCAATATTTCTGTAGATCCATACATGACCGAGCCCTGCCTCCAATCACAGCTCACAGAAGCACACGAACGTCAACCTCGGGCATATGAGAAGATAAAATTAGGAAAATACGAAAAAAGACAGAGAATAGTACGGAGTAATATGAGATATGTATATGCATAAGGAACGAATGTAAGAAATACACTATCCCTTACCTAGGTATGTACTGTATATACATAACCCAGCTCTATCCCCAAGAGAAAAAGATGGTAAAATAAATGAAACATGACACGTAAAAAAAAAAAAAAAAAAAAATTTTGTACATTGAAATCGAGGGAAGAAAAAGGAAAATTGCACCCGCCGAAACGAACAAACGTGTCCAAGTTGGAACCTTTGTACAAGTACAAAATAAACAAACAGGATGTCATGAGGTTGAGATAAGGATGGGCAGGCAAATGAGCAAGTAGTTCGTCCATGTAAGTCAGTCGCTCATGTAAGGATAGCAACTTTGGCAAGATCTTTTTTTTTCTTTTTTTTCTTTTTCTTTTGTTTCTCTCATATAATGCGTTTGTGTGCCCGTGGCATGCATGCTTGAATCAGATACAAGACAGAATTGCGCTCGTTAGGATGGATGTACACAGAGTTGCTTCGTATGATGCATGGGTGAGGCTGAGTGCCAAAATAAAAGGGACGAAGGAAGACAAAAAATCGATTTAACAAATAAACTCCGGCTGATCCGTATCCAAATTCCAGGCATGAGTCGCTGCGTTAGATGAAGGGCGTAAGCTACGTTTGTTGTTGTAATTGTATTCCAGAGCAGAAAACACCACGTGTAAACGATAAAGGGCGTAACGTTCAATCAATGTTGTCGTCGAAGGAATTTACTGCACCGTCAGAGATGGCCATGGGTCGTTGCCGGATGCCGAACCTCCGTGTAGTTCCAAAACTGTTCGTTCTCGGACGTGATATAGGGGTATAACTGGCTGCTAGTTTGCTCGATGGGGCGATAATCCTCGTTTGAGATAGATCCTGTCGAGGGGAGATAGGCGCATCGTCGTTGGCTTTACCGGGAGCAGAGATCCCGGAAGGCAACCCATACCGACGAGACCCGGCTTGGATGTTAGAGCGAGAGGTGGCGGGAGTCATCAAGGTTCTGCGGAGTGGAATGCCGGACTGCGAAGCAGTTGGCGTACGGGGTTGCGGTAACTGCGACTGCTGAGACTGCGCCGAGTACCTGGGAGTCTGGTCTTGCTGGGGCTGTGGTGCTTGAGATGCAGAAAACCCTTGGGAAAATCGCTGGCGCGGGGGGCACGATATGCGGGACTCTGGTTACTGATATCCGTCATGCTTCTCGATATTGACCGGCCATGAGGGCTTCGGTGCTCGGCAGGTTCATCCTCGGGTTGCAGTCTTTGGGCCCGTAAAGACGCGAGTCGGCTTAACCGGCTTGTGGGAAGTGAAGAACCAGGTGATTGTGCCTGCTTGGCATCAGATGTTGTTGTATCATTACTCCAGTTAACTTCTTTATTATTCTCGCTGGAGGTATTGCCGCTCGGATTTGCAAAACTGGACCGACGGCTTGCGGCACGAGTACTCTGCCGACGGCTAATAACTTCGGGTTCCTGGACCGTACTCCGTCGATATGGTGTTGTGGGAGTCAAAGTGTCATCATCAGCGCCAATAGGCTGCTGTGTTACCGTAACTTCGTCAGGTTTGCTTGAGGCCTGCTGTCTACGGAGTTGTTCATCCGACAATGCAAGACAAAGCTCGGTCAACCCGCGACAAACACTATCCGCTTTCCGTCTCGACAGTCTGTCGGACGGACCGTACCCGTTCACGACGGAGACACTTCCAGATGGTGCTTTATTAGTACTCAAAGTGGTGGACAGTGATATGGCATCTGTCGCAGTAGCTTCTAAGGCTGTATATACTTCTTTATTCAAAACAGTTTTTGCTTTGGACAAAGCAGATTGTAAAAGGGGATGGACTGGGTTTGTGGGGGGAATGGAATCGGAGCCGGGAGATGAGGTGCTGGTTTTGCGGCCGCGCTTTGGGGAAGATGAGACGGTCGTCACCGTAGTTGTCGCAGTGCGGGGTCGTTCGGCAGAAGCGGATGAGATAGCCTCCTGCGAAGACGGGGGCAGCTTCCCGGTAAGTTCTAGTTTGCGGATCCGGGATTTAAGATCCTCAAGCTCATCCCAGACAGTAGAAGGTGCAGTGGTAGACAGCGTCGACTCGGTTCCATCTTGTCGGGATCGATCGGGCTCGGCTCGGGGACGTTCTGTGACCTCAGAGCTAGATGGCTGCCGACTGCTTCGGATCGTCGATAGCGTTGAATGGCGATATGTTCTAGGATCCGGTAATGAGCCTCGTCTCTCGATAGACGTTTTCTCGGGTGAATCATCGGGGCTGATCTGGCTTAGTCTACTTCTCGGGACACCAATAGTCGACTTGGAGCTGGAGATGAAGCCGGAATGAAGCGAACGAGAATGATCGTCTAATGGATGAGCGGAAGCCGAATAGGAATACGCTAGAGAACTGCGTGGCTGGGATGGAGATCCGTTATTGGAATGCAAGGGGCTTTCGTAGGGATTCAACCGATGTTGATCGGGGGAAGACGTTTGCTCGTTGGCGCGGGAAGTTGAAGAGCGAAGACCACTGCCGGACATCCTCATTCGCGACTGTAACGTTTTCAATCTTCTCATCAGCTCACAGTCGAAAGATTATTCAAAATATGGCGAGACGCTGAAAAGGGGAGGGCCCATCGGAGATCCTTTTGCAGGGCCATGCTCGGGTTGTTGGTATGTTCGTCTTTCAAAGCAAACACGTTACTCACCCGTCTAAGTTCTGACCGTCCAAGGGATTCGCGACGGCTTGAGTCTGACCTAGCGATATTCAGGAAGATGTCGGATCGAGCGTCGTCCGCGACTGGAGTCCGATTGCCATCCTCTGTCGCATATTTGTTCACACCGTTCACGGTGCGCCTGCGGTCGTTCCCTTCGGTGTAAGTTGCTGTGTACGATGGCATTCTCCTCTTTACACTTGGAAGCGTTTGCTGGGCATAAAAGGAATCTTTCCGGCGTTTTGTCGCATTGGGACTCAGTGCTTTGATGGTCGAATCAGGATCAGGGGCCAGCGCAGAATCGCTATCGTCGTCTACAGCGAACCGGGGCGACGGGGGTAAAGAAGATGATTCCTTTGGAGCGCGACCGTGGGACAGATTAAAGCCTTGGATTGAGTGCCGTGGTCTGTCGTACAGGAAAGTGCGCTGGGGGGTCGGCGTCGGGTTTAGACTAGAGGACGTGTCGATAACGGAGCTGTGCGATGCTAGGGTTCGTCTGCGAAGGGGCAACTGATATTCAAAGTTGAAACGACTCTGTGGTAATCGGGGAGCCGAAGCGACCGACGTGTGGGGATGCGATGCAGAGGCGCCAGGGGTTCTGGATGGTGAGGAGATCATGTCTTGAGCCATCGGGGTTGTTGTTATTGTTGGTGAATCGCTGGTTCCGGCGGATGTTAGCGCGGTTGCGGTGCCCGCGTCACGGGGATCGTCCACAAACATGGCGCCGGGACGGTGTTGATCGAGCCGGGCGAGATGAGATTGCTGCTGGGCTGGGAGAAACTTTGTCTGAACCCCCAGGGTATTGCTCCGTGGACGTCGTGCGGGAGACTCGGTCACGGCTGAACGGGCCAACGCCGACGAATGGTTCACCCCGGAGCCGTATACTGACGCTCTGGAAATTCGAGCCGAATTAAGAGGCGCGTCTCTCTGTGTTGCATGGATGGTCGGATACACCGCAGACACGGTTTGTCGTCGAGGTCGAGAGTTGGAATGATGGTTTTCGGCAGAAGGTGGGAAAGCAGACGCTGGCGTCATCCCATCCACTAGGTCGTGGGACATCTGCATGCTCCTACACTTCTTGGTCAGGCATCCAAGGATTTCATGCACCTTCCCAGGAATCAATCAATCAGAAAATTATGCCAAAAAAAATTTATTCAGGGTGGAAAAGCAAAAAGCCAAAATATTGGCAACGGATTGGTCAACAGAGAGAAATTTTCATTCTATTGGTTGTGGGGATCAGGGATAAAGAGTACTTCTCCTCTTCCTACTAGTAAACTCAGGAGTGAGCGTGGTCTATCACCATCGCCTAAGGCACCGATCTTGTCCCTAATCTATATAAATCACTACGGATTCCTATTAATAACCCTAACCATAACCCGCGTTGTGTGGACGGGAAGGACTGGAAAGACCCGGCCAGAGGAAGGGGGAAATTTTTTTTTAAAAAAAAAATTTAAAAAAAAAAGGTACCAGGAACAGGAAATGAAGGACTCCAGTTATAAGGGTGGCTGGATTCTTCTACTGGAGACAATGGTGGAGCTGCTACTAACACTCTAGTTCGGCTCCAGAACCCGGAGAAATAGTCGATTGCCTTGACATGATATCATCCCAGATAGGATTTACGATATGATATGATAGGACTGAATATAACTAAGGTTCCAAACTTAGTTGAATTTTTAATCCCGAGTTGTTGATGTTCTTCTACTCCGTACAGAGTACTTGCGTTGGATACATCCCATGCAACCCGGAGGACTGACTATGGGGACATCGAAAAGACGCGCAAAGGGGGGCACGGACACAAAAAATAAAATAATAAAAGTCCACAGAAGGAAAAGGACTGCCGACACTAGCCTATACCTGACAGTATTATGGTCAAAAGCTTTCAAGTTCCTATAGCAACAACCACTCATAATCTCCTACTGTAAGTACTATCCCCATAGTTCAAACCTCCTGGTCCAAACATTGGCTGCATAGCTGCTTGTCCGGTTTGGGAGCCCGCCGCGACTACAAATATCTTGATATATCTGTATTTCAAACCACCTTTCCACATCTACTAATTCCAAGACAAAAATGAAATATTGTTTCAGTACTAAACAGTGAACTACAACTTCTAAAATTTGTGGGAGTAAACTCGATATTCGTGAATGTTAACCCATAATAAAGCTAGGTACCTAACTTCAGCACTTGCCTCAAAAAACCAACTAAGATGGCTTGTACAAATTTATTGTGATGGCAAGAGACTTGCAAAAAAGATAAAAAAAAAAAAAAGCCAACAGAGGCCAGTAAATCACAAAACAAACTTGCTGCATTCTATTACATTAGCGTTCACTCTTTCAAACGTCCAAGGTTACCTTCCATGACACGACGATTTATATATATTTTTGGTTTCATTGCCTCCCTATTATATGCTCTCAATCGATTAATTAGACATCGGTTATTTTTCTATCCCAGTCCAGGAAGGCATTATTCAGTAGCCACTGGGACCATGCCAAGATACTGTATATGGCTATTCAACTTCCCTATGTGTCTCTTTTCCCTTTAAGATGTGGCAAAACGTGCTTAAAACACAATCCAAAGACAGACTCACAGATCAAACAACACTGACACATCTGCGCACAAACTTTACCTCGACACCACCCATTTCGAATGGACAAACCGTAATGCCCCCAATCAGCGTCTTTGGCGGCATCTGGGAATCCTGAGAAAGCGAAGTTGATATTAATAGCCACTCCAATGTAGCTGAAACATGCTGTCAGCATGTTTTATTTAGTACCCAACGTGTGTCATCGTTTCGCATGGAATACGATGCACTAGGCGCGAAGCTCGACTATAACTGAAAGCAACAATGGTTAGAGCATGTTTTCCCTGATTGAGAGTTTTTCAACTGTAGGGGGTTAGCAGTGTCTTGTTATAGCAATGCCGCTGACCCGTCAATGCGTAAAGTGCCTAGAAACGATAGCTCCAAGGATAGCCGGATTTTTCTTGCCATAATTTATAGACATACTGGATTAGAAGCGCGGAGAGTATGGAAAAGAAAGAAGAAGGAGAAAAAAGAAGGAACAAGATGCTAAAGCGATGCTCCGAAGCCTTACCACGATCAACAAAGTCATCAAGGATCGTGGTTATAAATATCGAAGCACTCGCACTAATCCCATGGATACAGAAGGAATGACCTCGTGTCAAAGAAAACTCGTGACTACTCTTCTGAAACGTGTCTATGGCGTCGTATGCATGAGAACCAACCGTTCTTGACCTGATCTCCGATGCAAAATAAGCAGGGTTCGCTTGCGCAACGACCAGACAGTGGCCAAGTTCTCGGCCGTTGCAGATAAGGGTATATACTCCGGAGTAACCTAGGTAAATAACCAGATGGGAGAAGTGGGCATAGGGCTAATGATCCCGGGTAGAAAAATTTTTTAGTCTCTGCGGTGATCTGAAACAGATGTCCAGCACTTGAAGAATTCGACATTAGAAATCCACCCTTAATGCATGAATTATGCACATTTACATGCCAAGGCGAGAGACAAGAATAAACAATTGCATGTATGAACACGCTTTAATTGGGATGTTGTTAGTAGTTACTGCCCGTAGTCGAGCAATCCGTGGATTAGGGCAAAGCTAGGCAAAACTGACACAGTCCGTGGTACAGTACAAATCGGCTAAGTCATGTGGGATATCCAGCGGTCTCTTGTGTTTCTGCCTAAAGAAGGAAAACGATAACACTCTGTGAGTGTAAATGAGGCATTTACTTGCGTAAAGGCTGTAGACATTGATTCTGTTAAGCGGGAGATTATCTGGATTTGCCTCTAGGCGATAATCAACCTGAGGAATTGTCTCAGATCGGGTAATTTGGTGGCCTATGACCATAAGTACTATGTCAATAAGGAACCACAGTAATTTATATTGCTCAAATATATGAATCACGAGATAGGACGGCACTAAGTAGATACTGTCATGGGAAGCTGCCTGCACGGTTGTCACACCCATGCCTTTCTTTTCCTTTCCTGGACCTGGCCCCTTCGCATATAAAGCCCTTAATTCCATTGATGACCATGGCTCGAACCGATATGCTCGTCTGAGATAACTGCTATTTGCTACGTGCTAATAAAACGTTTTGATGAAACGACCCCACAGCATTCAAAAGTGTCACCGAACCGGCGGTCCAAGTTCAATGGTTCCCGACGTTGGGATGGAGCTGTACGGAGGGTACCTAAAGTGTTAGTCCCTGGTTGGACATTGCAGCCACGTGGAAATGACAGAGTCAAGTTTCAAATAAACACAGCGTTGCAGAGGCACTGATAACGAACAATAATATTTGCTCAGCAGTGGACCGCAATGAAATTTGAATGATTTACAGTGGACTCCTGTGTGGGTGTGCTAAAAGCATACTATTGATTCTTGTGGCAAGTGTGGGTAGCGATGACCTCAACATCAACAACCAGTCGAAACCAGTGGAACACGCGTTGCTGTGTCATTCACAAGAGCTTGAAGTACGATTTTTGAAGCATCCGATTCATCTGTAACCAATCAAATCACAGATGATGCTTGTCTACTCACCGTTCCGAGGATTGAATCAGGGAGATCTGAAGAGATGGAACTCGGGCTGTGACAGGCGGTGTCGCACACGTGACCCTCCTCCTGGGGGGTGCGACTAGTGGCTTAGCATTGGTCTGGCGTGTTTCAAACATACCTGAACTCCTCCACCCATTGGTTTGAGTTAGCGCGCGCGAACACTGTGTTTCAGCTGCGCTGGTCCAAGTTTATTAATAACACTAGCCCGGATTCGGGTTTTGCGATTTCGGGGGGATTCCCTGGTGTGTGTGTGTGTATGTGTCGGCAAACAAGACACTGCTGGAACTGAGTACGTCGGGTTGCTTCTGAAATGCCGGACGAGAAAGAACGAATCAGCAGGTTGGACTCGGTTGTCTTGTTGAGTCCGAAACAATGTACAGGGATACCTAAGCCAATTCAGGGTTCGTGATTAGGACTCAGCCCGGACGATGCCCGCGCAGCTTCTCCTCGTCCCACCCGCCAATGATGAAAAATCCACAACTCCCAGGGGGCGTTGCGCCTAGGGCGATGATGATGAATCGGATTGGTTTGGCCCCAGTCAATCAGCCTCTCCGTTTCACATTTTCCCTTATCCCCAGAGCCTCGACAGAGTCTATACTAGTAGGTTGGCTCCACGCCAAATAGAGGTCCCTGCTGAAAAAGTCGCCATCTGTATCTAGTAAAATAGTGTCCATGCCTCTCGTCAATTGCCTCTTCTTTTCTGATCTTTTCTGACCTCTTCATCGCTGGAACGACTTACGCTAAGCCTTTTCTTTCTTCAGTGACGCTCTTTGCTGCTATCATCATCATCTGAGTCAGTCCTCACTGTAAGCCCCCCCCCCCCCCCAACGCCCTGCAGTATCAGCGCACCGTGCACACCCAAGCGGGTCAACCTTACGCTAATTTGAAATTATCACTACAGTTTAGCTGTTGGACGTATACTCTCTGCCCGCTCAAACTGGTTTTGACCTCCTCGTGGGATTGAGCAGAATTCTTATTTTTGTCTTTTCGGTGCCTCTTCTGGAAGAACTTTCTTGTTATTATTATTTACTTTCTTTCTTCCATATTTTTTTTCTTTGGATACTATCCTTCTCATCCCCCTCTTCGTGTGACGAGCTCTTTAGGAAAACGGGGTTGTGTGATTCTAAGCGCCGTGACCACTGCCGCATACGAATGAAAAATCCCGTTTGGATCTAGTACCACTCTGGTATAGGTTCACTTCCTGAGACTATAACAGTGTGATCCTGTTGAACCCAAGGCATTGTGAAAGAGATAGGAGAAAAAGGGAGTCTTCGATAATAGAAGAATAAGGTATGTTTGAAATTGTCATTTCTGCTTTTTTTTTGCTATTATAGTCAAGTTTATTATTGTTCATTTGTTTATGATCTCCTGATTTCTGTTTATACGTATTATGCCTCTGCTCTAGTTGGTTATTTCTGTCTTTGTTCGCCCCTTCAAGTGGTACCAGTTGTGGAGCTGTTTTTCGTGTTTGTTCTTTTTTTTTTTTTTTTGTTTTGTTGCAACCTTCCTTGTTTGCACTCAACCCTTGACAAGAGATCCAAAAGAGGAAGAGAGAGGGGAATACCCATTTCCATAACAAGAGCACAAAGAAAACCAAAAGAGGGAGCGAGAAGGGAAAAATGAGCTATGATCTCTTGAAGAAAAAAGAAAAGAAAAAGAATGAGAAGCAAAAATACAGTGCTTCCTCTTCTCTGGTCACTGATTACGACCTGTGATTTCTGATACACGCATGATTTCGTTCCTCCACCCCCTGTGTTGTATCAGAATCATACCCACTTACCCTTGCCCATCACTTCCTATCTTATTTCACTTGCCCTGACCGCGAGGATCGTCACTCGGTCGTTGTTGTGGGTGACAGGGAGGAGAGCGGTACATACCAGCATCTCCGCGACTGGGGAGATGGAGACATGCCAACGTTGGGAAGAGACTGGCATCTGATTTGCGTGCTTTTGGCGCCCGTGATGCACATTCCAGCCTCCCAGACCAACCCGGGCGGCTAAATTTAGAGCTGCAGGCGATGAATGTTTTGCTTCGGTCGGGTCTGATTGGCTTCCCACATCTGGTTGACCGGAGTGTGTATTCCTCGCGCCCCACACCCAACGGTTGAATGATTGGCCTGCCGTCAAGAAACGCGGGCGGATGGTCCCAATCACGGCCTCCATCCACTCCCTTCCCGTCCTCTCAAACGAACTACTGCTGGAGCAAGTGGTTTATTCTTAGTGATCGTTTACCAGTATTACATGCTGCTGCTGGAACTGGTCTGGTCTATCCTATCCTGGAGGAACCTCTCTTTTTCTCACGCACACACAACCACCAGTCGTGTGTCTCCCTCCTCCCTTCGCTCTCTCTCTCTCTCTCTCTCTTCCTCTGATTTCCTTCTTCCCCTCCTCTTCCCCTCTTAGTAGGGTACCTACTTCGCTAATCAATCGACGTGACCCATTTCTCTCCTTTGGCTTGTGGGCAGTCGTTCTTTTACTTCCCTTCTTACCCTCCTTGACCCTACTAGATTCCTCCACTGTTTCTTTCGTCATTCCCCGGAGGAACGACTGCCCATGCGAATACCGGGCGGCAATTCCTCCAACTTTTTACTCCTCCATCTCAACCATTAATTCATTGGATCTTTTTTCCATGCAGTAATTTCTGACGCTGCATCTGTTTTTCCTTTTCCTTTTTTTTTTTTTAATTTCTAGCTCTCCTTGAATCCGCTTTATTATTTATTTTTTTTTGCTGCGATTTTTGATTGATTTGTTTTTCTCATTTTATTATTTCCCGTTGGCACTGCACACCACTGTCCTTTCCTTTACATCACTGACACATCTTTAAGAGGTACCAGACCTCTTGTGGCAACTTTTGGTATGTTCACGTTTTTCTTACATTCATTGCTAGACATCCATTCTTTCGGCGCGCTTCCATACCTCCAACGTTCAATGCTCTCGCCCGGGACAACCACAGGATTTTGCTCTGATCCCATTGTTGCTTCCTTTCTTTTAAGGTTCAGCTTGCCGGCCTTGTTTCACCCTCCTTGCAGCTCTATTTGCTTGGTTTCTTGCGGCCTGGACATCTGTACTTTGCGAAGCCACAAAGCTTGAACATGGAAACTGATTGTGCTCTTTCAAAAAGGTCATTTGCTCTGGTAGCAAGTGCGACACTTTCTTCTTTCCCTCCGTCTGGATGCGATTGCTGTCCTGCGGTTTTTGCGCCGGCGTTCTGTGAGAGCTGTATACCTGAAAGGGTGTCGCCTTTCAAGCGCAGGTCTGTTCTGAAGTCTGGATTCATCATGCCCGTTCAGACTAGTCCACCGTCAGTACCGGATTCATTCCCATCCTTTATGTCAGTGTTTGGTGGGAGACCGCCCAGCATTGCCGACAAAGAGGAGCAGACGACAGCAGTAAACCCCCTCGAAGTGCCCACTAATGTCACCTTTAACACGTCGCGACGCCCTCTTCCTTTTAAGCACCGTGAGAGCATCTCGTCGATGACATCAGCGTCTACTGATTCGTCGCCGACCACCACCATTTCTACCTTCGATTCGCCTTCCGGCCCAGAGACATCTCCCAGCTCTTCCCCGGAATCTCCGACGTCCATGCCACTGTCATATCCCAAATTCATGCCACCCCCGCGCAATGTCGAGAGCCACTCGCTCTCGACAGCCCATAACAACCTTTCCAAATTGTCGTCCGACACACCGAATCCCGTACGCCCAGACTCTCCCGGCAGACGGGCACGAAACCTGAAGAATTTATCCTTGAGAATGCCTCCACCCTCACAGTCTTCCCGCCCTCCAATTGCGACAGCTCCATTGTTGAAACAACCTCGCAACACCATCTGTCCGCGCCACCGTCGCCAGTACACATCCCCCCCAAAAGCACACGCCGAAAGCCGGCAAATCTCACAATTCGGACTCCCGGCTTTGATAGATCGTTTTCTAGCAATATCTCTGAGGTTCCCCCTACCCCACTCTGCCGGCAACCGTTGCGACATACTGAATCTTCTCCATCACTAAATTCGATCTTCTCCCCTTCATTTGGTCCCAAAGGTGGCATGCAATTACCTAGGCCCATGACCCATCATGGCAGTCGACGACCATCAGCTTCGGAGGATAACCCGTCGCCTTTGCAGCCAGTCCCCGATGAAAACTCAGTTTCTGGCAGTGTGCTCCATGAATTAGAGGAGGAGGATGATCACCTAGACTCGAGAGAGTCCACTAGACGTAATGAGCGGGGCTACCCGAATGGGCCTATCCAAATCTATGACTCCGGAGTCTACTTGTACTTGGAACCGACAGTACAAGAAGCGTCCCAGTTTGATGTTGTCGTCAACGTGGCCAAGGAAGTAGTAAATCCATTCACTAACACAAACACCAACAACGGATCTGTCATGAGTGTCCTTCGGAATGCGTGCCCAAATCCCAAGGCGGTGCCGACCGAAGTTCCAGAAACAGCCATGTCAGACATTTCCTTCAAGTCCGCCTTTGAGTACCCCCCGAATGAGTCGTTGCCTGGCACACCTCACAACGACGCATCCAAGCCAGAATACATCCATGTGGGCTGGGACCATAACTCAGAAATACTCGATGATCTCTTACCCCTCTGCAAGCTCATTGATTCGCGCATTTCGCAAGGGAAAAAGGTCCTTGTTCACTGTCAGCTGGGTGCCAGCCGATCCGCTTCGCTGGTCATCGCATATGGTTTATACAAAAACCGGCATTTGGATTTCAACTCCATGTACGAGATTGTCAAGGGGAGGAGTCAATGGGTGGGCCCTAATATGAGTCTTATCTACCAATTGACGGATTTCCGCTCCCGGTTGCTCCGGGGTGGCCCGTCAAAACCGGCGCCCGAGGAGTGGTTTGCGGAAGGACTTCGGAGGGGTTCTGAACCGCAACCCTCTCAAACTGAGGCGATGAACCAGTCCGGAATCGTGACTCCAGCTCTACCGGCTTCATGCGCTGGTCTGTCGCAGGCCTCGACGAGCTCACTCTCGGTGCCTTCGACAAACCAGACCACGCCTACTTCTGCTGAAAGTCTAAGTTTTCCAAAAACCCCTTCGCATAAGCGAAGCCTATCCCCGCGGCCATTAACCCTACGGAAGTCCAGCTTCCAAGTCGGCGACTCGGCAGTACGATCGATCCGTCCAGAGTCTTTTTTGAATTCATGGCGTCCGGAGAGCGGGCCTTACTCCTTAGCCAAGACCGACATCTTCGTGCGGGATGGTCCAGCAGAACCCCCTGCTCTCTTCTCACCTAGAACTACTGGCTTTCTGGCGGCACCGATGTCACAGTCAGTCTCTAGTCAACTAGAGAATAATGGGCTACACGGCCTCCGGTTCGGGTCGCGGATAGCGGATCCTAGGTCTCCTCCCCCAGGGAACGAGCGTCTGATCATGAGAAATATTGACGAATTTTTATAATTCTTCTGGTTTGATGTTTTTAAGACGGAGTTCGCTCAGAGTCATCTCTGAGGATACGTCCTTGAAATGATTGCATGACTGTTTGACATGCCCGATTGAGGCTCACTGTCTTTTTTTCTTTTTCTTCCTTCCACAAAAAGAGCTTCCTTACTACTGGCTTCTCTTCGTTTCCCCTTTCTCCTTTTTCTACTGCCTTTCTTAGCTTATTTTCACTTGCCTCTGGGCTTCTATTCTGATGATTTGATGACCAAAGCGGGCTTTGCAGTCGTTATTTTCTCATTATATCACACTACCTTCGCTAATTGGCATTTTCAATTTCTCAACCGGTGGCTTCATGTTGCGTCTTAAAGGGTGACATTGCATGCTTATTACCGGCGTCCTGGGTGTTATCAAAAGAGATACAGGTGGCGAGAACTCGTACCTGACCATGTAATACTATTCGTTGGGGTCTGTACTTTTCGCTTCGATGTTTAGAGGCTTCTACATCATCGTTTCCATTCGTTTTTTATACTGTCTTATCACACTCTTTATTTACACCGTGGTCATTGCATCGCGGTTTACGGCGAAATACCCAAGGGGCTACTTTATTCTTGAATACAAGGAGTTAAACAAGTGCATATAATGTTCCAGGCAGCAAATAAGGAAACCTCAGTAAAGCGTAGCGTTCGATTGCAAGCTTGCCGCGGTTCTCGATTTCCGCGGGGCCTAATTTTGTCTCCCGCGCGGCTCTCCAAACTTCCCGTGGACCATTTTCAACACGAAAGTTCACATAGACCACCACAGTGTGTTTCCCTGAATAGAAAAGATCAAAAAATATGGCAGAGGAAAGTCATCCAAGTCACCTTTCACCCAGCGAACTGGGAACCAAAGACTAGTAAGTCCCAATCCATTGCATAATGGAAAAACCAGTACCCCGCTACCCCTCCAGCCATATCCAACACATTCTGCAATCATACCCCAAGCAGCCCCCCAAAAAATAATAAAAATAAGAATGAAAAGAAATTCACAATAGAAACACCTACCCCTCTCCCCTCCCTAAACAAACTAACAAGAAGGAAAAAAAAACAGCTGGGAAACCTTCTACGCCCGAACCCTCACACACATCTCCACAAAACAAACCCCCAAGCAAGAGACCACGGACCTGGATTCAGACGCCGAATCTATCGACGACGATGACGACCCCGGCACATCATGGTTCTCCGAACACAACGCCCCCGATAAAGTCCTCCAGTTCCTGACCGCAGAGGACTTCCCCCTGGCACCGTGCAACACTGTCTCCGCGGGTGCCAACAACCACCCCAGCATCCTGGACCTGGGCACCGGGAACGGGAGCATGTTGGCTCTGTTACGCAAGCGGGGCGGGTTCCGGGGCGTGATGGTCGGGGTTGATTATTCGGCGCGGAGTGTGGAGTTGGCGCGGGAGCTGCAGAGGTTGAAGATGCATTCGGCTTATTTGACGGATGACGAGGATGAGGAGTGTACTGGGGGTGGTGCTGAGGGGGAGATTCGGTTTGAGGAATGGGATATTTTGCATTCTGCGGAGGAGGTGACGGAGCAGGGGAAGTTGGATTGGTTTCCGTATGGGGAGGGCGGGTTTGATATTGTGCTTGATAAGGGGACGTTTGACGCTGTTTCGCTTTCGGAGGAGGTGGTCGAGGGCGATGCGGGTGCTTCTGTGGCGGGGAGGAGGAAGGTGCAGAGGCGGGTTTGTGAGATGTATCCGGGGGTTGCGAGACGGTTGGTGAAGAAGGGTGGGTTTTTGGTGGTTACGAGCTGTAACTGGACTGAGGAGGAGTTGGTGATGTGGTTTACCAGGGAGAAGGGGGAGGGCGATCGATTGGAGGTTTGGGGGCGTGTTGAGTATCCCCGGTTTAGGTTTGGGGGCAAGGAGGGCCAGGGAGTTTGTACAGTGTGTTTCCAGAGGCTTTGATCACACACTCAGTGGGTTCGTTTCATTCTTTTTGATGTTCTATCATGCTGTATAGTCGTCACATTTCATTCAGTCATGATGTATAGATCCATTGGCATATATCGCTTTATGGATGCTGGCTTGAGGGCTTTTACCGTGGGTGATTGAACCCCAGGGCCCGTCTATTCTCCTTTTCTCTTGAGGAGAGCAACTACACACCATCTCTTGCGGTTCTCGGGGCCTTCGCCCTCCCGCTCAGGTACCCAGTCCCGACGGACTTCCTTCCCGTCTTCCGTCCCGGAATTGAGATCCCGCTCGTAGATCCGCTCAATCTCCAGTCCGTTGTTCACTGCAGTTTCGAAGAACCCGGCCACGATGGTTCGCCCGGTGTGAAATCCGGCAACCACCCAGACCTTGCCGCCGGGTGCAAGGAACCATTTCATCGTATTTACGAGGTTCTCGTGTTGCGAGGCCATCCAGTAGCAATCCGCACCAATGATCCGGGTGAAGGTTCCTTTCTTCTCGACGGCCCAGGGATCGCTCTCCAGTGTTCCCCACTCATGGGGCTTAATAACAACCTCAGTAGTGGAGGAAGACTTGCGGGCATTGTGGTCGACGTTGAAGGCGATGGCGCCAGCAAAGGCAGGAGAAGAGGGATGGTCGGTAATGGTAACAGTGGATGCTTGCGCAAGGGCACAGACTACAGATGGTAATGCGGCACCTGCAGGATAAGATTAGCCCGATAGATCCATGGTTGCAAGGAAATGCAAGGAAGAGAAAACCAGGGGAAGACAAACCAGCGCCCAATTCAAGCACACTCTCCCCCGTAACTTTCCACATCGCCGTGTCGGAATCCAGTTCTCCCACCGAAGAGAGCTGCTCTGCGTTTTCAACCCCCTCTGCAACCACCATGGCGGCACTCCATAGAAAGTGTGCAAACAGCTTTCGCCCTTGGTCAACATCGTTTAATTTTCCAGCTGCGATCTCTTCCGAGCGATTGTCGCTCTGGTGGGGGTAGGAGGGGACCATGACATCGAGAGCGCCATAGCGCGGGGAGCTGTACAGGAGGTGCTGCCCAGGATCACCGTGAAAAGAGGGAGCGTCATCTGGAAACAGGTGGGGAAGGAAAGCTCCAAAGAGGTCCTCAGGAGATTCGTCCTCAACGGAGTCCTCACCGTGGAAATCGGGAGGAGGGGCTGATGGGGAGGAAGATAAGGGCGTACGGCGGCGGGGGAGGGGTCGGAGGCGGGAGTGGAGCATTGTGAATTGACTTTATGGGGTAATAGACCCCAGGATTGACGTTCTAGCAGAAGTACGGTTCTTGCGGTATCCTACCGTTAATCCTCAAACCAAGCGATATCTTCCTATTGATACTGGATGGTGGACTTGCAAAGTTGTATGGTTCAAATCTTCTGATTGGTTTGGGGATAGGCGGTCGTGATTTGTGTCGGCAGAATACTCCGCCTGCAAGTCATGGGTCACATGTTTCACATGATCGGTTTGGATCTCGAACACCTGCTGGATCTGGGGATCATCCCAGCGCTTTTTGTCCACGAGACAGTGGTCATATCAACAGGGGCAAATATGAAGATTGCCCCGGACTGCTTCGGCTTGTCCATCTATATCCGGACTGTTCCACTGAGGTAACGGTGTCTGGCCTTGACTGAGAAGAATGGCTGGGATCTAACCCAGAAGACTGTGGCCAGCTGGGGGCTTAGATGTTGAAGGAATAGTTTCTTCAGAATGAAAATAGTTGGCTCTTGGCTGTAGAATAAGATTACTCTGATGCGTGACGATAAGGCGATCCAACACAGAGGTCTTCCTCATAGGCAATAGTATAGGTACGCCATTGCGCTGGTCCAGTAGGTTAATAATACCTTCAAAATTGACAGATTATGTGACTGCTTCTCATTCAAAATGACCGTCTCGGTGGCATTGTGGCCAAAACAATATGGTGGGATACTTAGCACGCAAAGCAACGTAAGCAACACCGATGGCGGACAATGCAAGTGCCTGAGACATTCCTTCGAGAATCACTCGTCAAAGCCGAATCGACGCCTAGGGCTAAAGCTGTGGCGTGCTGCAGTTGAAACTGGCTCTTTGTGGTTCGATTGAGACCGACTATTTGTCTACTACTTACTTCTTGAGACAGTGTATCTTGTGCTACATATAACTATCTATAATTAATCTTACATAGATAAAGAACATTTGACCCACGGATTCAATAAGTAGTAAAAAAAAAATAGGAAAAAAGAAAGTGGAAGAAGAAAAATAGTAATTGATTATCATAAAGAATGGCTCAGCCATGGAACCAGGCTCCGAAGGAATGCACTTGACTTGCAGTTTAGGGTATTACCCAGTCAGTAGGTATTGGCCATGTGTCCAATGACCTGTCAGTGCAGTTGGCGGATCTTCTTCTTGGCTGAATCGCAAGTTAACTACGGTAGGACATAGGTACCTCAACCATTGGATGTGCCTTACCTCTGGGAAAGTTTACGGTCGTTCAAATGATAGGCAGGTTTACCTTTCCTCCATTAGTACCTGAGCGTACCTTACTAGTAGTACTGTACATACTATAAATGGTCCCTAACCTCAGGTACTCTGGCGGTAAGATAAGGTCTTGGGAACCACCAGCGGTACCGTATCGAATTGACCCCAGTCAGCCCTTTCCCAGTTTATTCCCCATCCGTAGGGTGATTGGCAATGGGGGACGGCGGCGTCATCCAATCATACGGTACGGTACGGCCATGGGGGATGACATCATGTATCCACCTACCAGGCCCTAGACCGGTCGATGCGTCGATTCCTACGTATTACGGTATGGTCACCGGGACGGAGTACAGCACAGATCACCCATTGAGTGATTTTTTTGGGGCTTGCGGTCGCTGTAATGTACTGCCGGCGGTAATGAATCGAGAGGATAAACTGTACGGTACCTACGCAGCTAGATGCCAATCAGTTTTACTCCTCTCGCTATGTTTTGTCGATGAATGAGATTGTTTTGGTATGAAGATGTTTCTTAATTAATTAAATTTCCTTTTCGAGAGGGGGTAATCTGCACTTGTCAGAAGATCACACCAGCTATGGCCAATTATGTGTCCATTGGATTTTATTAAATCCCTCCTTCTGGGAACTAGTACTGCAAACTGAGATGTGTTGCCTGAAATTTGATGATCTACTAAGTTATTTGGTTCCTCGATTTTGCTACGCATAACAGTTACCATACAGCCTCGTGCTGAGCAGGTGACCATACGGACACAGTCACTGACTAATTCAGTTTCATAACTACCTAACTCTAGAGAGAGAGAGAGAGAGAGAGAGAGAGAGAGAAGAAGAAATAAAAGAGAAA